TGCTAATTACCCAGGTTCAAGCCTGTCGAGGTAATTAACCGATTTTGGTGGAGCATTCTTTGCAGGAGTAGCAAAAGTCACAGTAGCACTGGTAGGACCAGGTGTAGTTCCCGTTGTCCAGGAACTGGAAGCTGTCCATCCTCCTGTAGTAGGAGTTCCAGTAGATGTTGGGCAGTCCCTGGTACGTGATTTGTTGGCAGTCAAAGGCGTTGATGATCTGCAGGTATCTCGTCACCTCTGGGTTCACGTATACCTGGTGGGTGACAGTGACAGTGACAGTGACAGTGACAGTGACAGTAATAGTGATAGTGATAGCGGCAGTGGGAGTAGCAGTGGCAGTGACAGTGACAGTGACAGTGACAGTTATAATGACAGTGACAGTGACAGTGACAGTGACAGTGACAGTGACAGTGACTGTGGCAGTGATAATGACAGTGACATTGACACATTGACATTGACAGTGGCAGTGGCAGTGATAATAACAGTGGCAGTAACAGTGACAGTGACTGTGACAGTCACAATGACGGTAACAATGAGAGTGACAATGACAGTGACAATGACAACGACAATGATAATGCTAATGGCAGTGACAATGATACTGACAAATATAATGGTAAAGATAATGATAATCACAATGACAATGATAATGAAGCTGACAATGACAGTAGTAATGACAATGATATTCACAATGATGATGATGACAATAACAACGACAGTGATCCCAAAAGGGGAAGTGGGCAGGGGCTGTTTGTACATTTAGTTCAATGGTTGTTTTCGACAGAGTCATTATGATATTCAGTGGCTGCACAGGACCGTAAAAACACATGGTTATGCAAGTATATATATATAAAAATTAAATTATATATTACTAGACTCTCGTTAAAATTCAATATGAAAACAGAAGTAAAGCTGACAAAATGTACATTCACATCAAATGCATCATTCAATCACCTGCAGGAATCTAAATACAAGACCTTTGGAGTTATATATAGATACAAACTCCAAGAGCAACATCCATCTGTGCGTGACCATACTCACATAGGGAAGCCTCATGTCAACGAAAGACGCTGGTGCGTAGACGGCTTGACCAGTGACGGCCCCCCCACCAGGCCTCAGGACTCGTTTGGCGATGTCACTGATGGTGGTGCAGGAGGGGGGTACATCACCCGCCTTGGCCACAGGGCTTGTGTAGCTGATGAACATATGGTGAGATGGTGAGATG